TGAGCTATAGGCGCCGAGCCCAGAAAGAGTATTTTCTATGCGAACTACAGATCAAGCTCACGTTTCATCCCTTCCAGGCCTGACCACACATCACCCCTCAGTCCTCAAGTTGAACAGCCAGGCAGCAGGAGGCTGTTCAACCTGGGAATCAAGACTCTGTCTTGGCTCGGCGCCTGTGGCTCAAGTGGCTAAGGCACCAGCCATGTACACCTGAGGTGGCAGGTTCGAGTCCAGCCCGGCCAGCCAAACAACAATGATAGTTGCAACCAAAACAAAAATAGCCAGGCGTTGTGGCGGGCACCTGTGGTCCCAGCTACTTGGGAGGCTGAGGCAGGAGACTCGCTTGAGTCCAGGAGTTGGAGGTTGCTGTGAGCTGTGATGCCACAGCACTCTGCCCAGGGTGACAGCTTGAGGCTCTGTCTCAAAAAAAAGACTCTGTCTTGTGTTCAGAGCTTTCCTAACGTCTGGTCTCCACCTACTGTAGCCCTCTGTACCCTAGGCCGACAGCAGAAGGGGTGGCAGGAGCGCAAGTGAGGTCCGGATTAAAGAACAGGCCAGAGGACCCTCTAAGAGAGAAAGCACTCCCCACCCCCATCCCGAGGACGGGTTTGCACGTTCCCAGCAGTAGGCAAGTCGCGGGAGTCGTAGGGTTACAGAAGCAGCGAAGGCAAGTTATTATAAGCATGTGGAGGACACGATGAGTGGTGAGGCCACCACCAGGGAGCGACATCAGGGCCGCAGCGCCTAGAGGATGGGGAACACCTGATAACCCGAAGACTACGTGTAAGCCTCGCTCTCAATCTCTATTGTGCTAGAGTAGGGGGCGTAAAGGTGGAGAACAGCGCCCTCCCCGCACCCCACCCATTCGGTCCCGCCTTCCAGGACCCCGCCCCACCCCCGGCTCCGCCCCCACTCCCCGCCCCGCCTGCGGCCGCGGCCCCTTCCTCCCGCAGCTTGTACTGTGGGGCCGCCGAGCCGCGCGTCGCTGTCTCTATGGCCCAGGATCCGAACGCAAAGGTGAGGGAGGCGGGGAGTGCGAGCCGCGGCAGGCCTGAGTCAGGGAGCAGAGGTCAGGCAAAGCCTTCCCCATGTCCATTCCACCCTCCAAGCTGTGCCAGGCCTTTCTCACCGCCAAGTCCCCTGGTCCTGCATAAAGGCTTTAGAGGGGCACAGGCAGGCCTCGGGCCGCGCTGGGTGCAGACCAGCCACTATGGAGTCGGGGATTGGCGCGGGGAGGGGGCCGCGTGGCGAACAGTGTTCCCCAAGATCTGGGTCACGTCTCCCAGCGTTCGGCCGGATCGAAGGAGAGCTTGTCCTCGAGCTGCAGCAGTAGACTGAGAGGTTAGACCTAACCAAATGAGAGAACCGCGGACTGTCCAGGATGTTGGAGGGAGGCGGGCGGGGGGGGGGCTCTCTCAAGCCAGGAGAGACCGTCATCTTACTGGGCAGAGGGAGATACCGCCTCCAGGCATCTAGAGATGGTACTCTAGGCAGGTAGACATCTGATTGAAGGTCGAGAACCTCCTGATTCCCTATTGATACTGTTTGGACAGTCTCCCCTCCCCAGTTTCCTCCACCCTAGGATCTAATAGAGGAAAGGAGATCAGAGTTTAGAGCCTGGGCTGGCTCTTGGGAGGAACTCGAACTGTGGAACTCGGGGTGGAGTGTGGGGGTGTGGACTGGAGACCTTGAAATCGCTTCCCCGAGGAGCAGAGGGGTGTAATGCCCCGCCCATTTAGCCCTCCCTCCTTCCCAACGCGTTAAATGGGGGCTGAGTACTCCAGCCCAACTCCCCCATCTAGAAATGCAGTATATATGGGGGTAAGGGGGTGCTAAGTGATGTGTTCCATTGCATCTTTCCTTTGCTGAAGCTAGGCGCCTCCTGCCTGGGTTAGTTACCTGCTCCCCCCCTTGAAGAGCAGCCTTGACCCATGCACAGTCATCCCATTTGAGCATTTGGGTCAGCTTCCTCCCCCATCACCACACACACTTGTAATCTGGCCTCAGAATTAGGATTTTCAGGAAGGGAGGTAGGGCTCTGCTCTGCATCTCACCCCACTGGACACTAGCAGCCTTCAGGCTTGCAGTGACAACTAGATCTCATATGAATGTGTGCTTGTCTCTGCATGGATATAATCATGTGTTTGAGGACTCTGTAAACATACATGTACTTGACCCTTCTGTGAACGTGACTGTGCCTGACCCCCATATCAATGTGTTGGTATATGTATCCTTACAAATACCTATGTATGTGCAGGACCCTCTCATTGAAAGGTATATAATCCTTCATATAAACCCTCTCCTTGTCAATCTCAGGCTGTGTGACCTGCTGAATGGATGGGCATATGAATATAACCTTATTTATGAGTATGTATGACTATAAGTGACCATGGCTCTCTATGTGAACATATTTGTGCAAAGCTCCCTGTGAGTATGTATGTGAATGACCTGCCTGTGAATTGGTATGTTCACAGTCTTCCTTGTGTTTGTGTGTGTGTGCACCCATGTGTACACATATCATCTTCCTCTGGCCCCACGTGACTCTTAGAGTAAACCTGCACTAGTGTGCCCCCTGCCCCACACTGGGTGGTTCCTCTAACCTAGGGTGTGTTCCTCCTGTCCAATCCTAGAGACTGATGCCTCCTAGCCACAGGCTCTCCCCTCTATGCCAAGCAAATAGGAGGTCCCCAAGGTAAACAGGTGTGCCTCCACAGTGAGGGGTGGGGCATGGGCAGCTTGTCTGGAGCCTCCTCTGCCCCAGCCCCCAAACAAGGAAGTGGTGACCTTTCTGTGGTCCAAGGACCCTTTTTTCTCTCTTTCATATTCTACTCCTCCCCTCTGGGCTCTGCCTCTAAAGTGCTGACCTTTGCCTCTTGAATAAGTGCTCTAGTTCCTGTTATCCTTCTGGCCAGCTCCTGATTCTTCCCCTCTCTTCAAGGCCAGAGAGTTAATATTTGACCTGGAAAGTAGGAGGGAAGCTCCAGGCACCCTCTGGTACTGTTGTGGGTGTCTGATGAGATGGGGTAGGTCAGGTCTCCTTCACACCTAGCCCAGCCTAGGAAACCTTCAGGAGCCCCCTCAGATATCAGGAGACAGTTACAGGGTTAGGAGAACCCTGCCAATGACCCCCACGCCCATCCCCAGCTGGCTGGCTGGAGGGAGGGTACAGATTTGGGAAATATCTTTAAGATGGGGGGGAGGGTAGGACGGACCAAGAGCTCAGGGATCCCATTGTTTACCTTTTCCACGTTGCTTATGTCTCAAGCACCTGGCCTTACACATTAAAGCTCCTGTACAGATACTGCACCTGTGCAGTCAAGGGGACCCTGATCCCCACCCTGGGGCCTGTGAGTGCCTGACTGCAGGTAGAGACAGGTGTGGATGCCTGTGCACCCCATTGAAAGGAATGCCAAGAAGAAGCTATAATTAAAGATAAATTCCAGAAGGACCTCTCAGACTAAGGAAAAGAAAAAACAAAGGGAAACAGGACAAAATAAAGGCTCTTTAAGCATCTGTGGTCAGGCCTTCCTGCATAAGGCACCCCCGCAGGCAGGCAGCCAGGGCAGCTGCTGCCAGAGTTGAGTCTCACAGTTGGGAGGAGCAGGCATTCTCTCGGAACCTGACTCCACAAAGATGGGGGCCTAGCAGAGCTTCTGACTGGGCCAAAAGAAGGCTTTTACCTGGGGTTCAGGTTGGGGAAGCCTAGGGTCTTCTAAGGAGGGCAAGTTCTCCAGCCTCCTGCATCTGAGCAGAGGGATGAACACAATGACTGTGAGTCGATTCTGGCGTGGGAGTTCTATGGAAGCTGGACCTCCTCCCTTCAGTGCCCCCTGAAGTCTGGGTAAAGCCATTCATCTTCCACCCACACACAAATCAAAGAGCTTTTTTCCTGTTTTTTCTTCAGAAAACAGACATCAGAAAACCAGGACTAACTGCTGTCGGGGGCAGGGTGACCCCATCGATAACCTACAACCCCTCTATAACTCCACAACTCCCTCTCACCATGGAATTTCCATTTGCTGTGGAAAGGCATGTGATCCATCCCTCCCTCTGACCTCTTAGCTGGGATTCCATGGCCACACAACCCTGTGACTCTATGTCCCCTCAATTTCAGGACCCCCCTTGGCCCCATGATTCCTTGACCCCATGGCCTTGTGACCCCTGACCTTCCAAGTGACCTCCCTAGACTTTGGGCCCTGTGACTGTTCTTCCCATACCTCTCACTTGTGACTCTGGCCTTGGCTCCTCTTGGGGGTCTTGTTGGTCTGGGCCTCCCTAGGAAGATGTGGGGGAGGCTCTGGCCCCTCTTCCTGAGCTTCCTCACAGCAACTGCAGTACCCGGACCCTCACTGCGAAGACCATCCAGAGAACTAGATGCTACCCCTCGGATGACCATCCCTTATGAAGGTTAGACCCTCAACTTCAAAGGCAGTGGGAACCTGGGCTGGGGGTCGGGAGGCACCCCAGAACTGGGCTCACTGCTCCTGCTCTCCCCAGAGCTCTCTGGGACCCGGCACTTCAAGGGCCAAGCCCAGAACTACTCAACACTGCTGCTGGAGGAGGCCTCACAGAGGCTGCTGGTGGGAGCCCGAGGCGCCCTGTTCTCTCTCAGTGCCCATGACATAGGAGATGGGGCTCACAAAGAGGTCAGCCCCTGGAACCTGGATCACCCAGAGGGTCTCCAGCTTCATCCAGCTCCATAGGACTTCAATTTCCCAGAAACCCTGCCAGCCTTCCATAGCTCCCTAGTCAGACAGCACTGCCCTTCCCAAACCATTGGTGTCCCTGCATCCAGTGCTACTCCTGAAATTCATCCCATCCCAATTTCCCCAGCTCCCTAGGGTCCTATGAGTAATGAGCAGTGGGGTCAATGCATCAGCCCATTCCCTTTACCCCTATCAGATCCACTGGGAAGCCTCTCCAGAGATGCAAAGCAAATGTCATCAAAAAGGGAAAAACAATCAGGTATGTGATCTGCCCTGCCCCCAGCTCCTTTCCTCCTCTATCAGGGATGCCAGGGTTGGTGGGGAGACAGATGGAGAAGTACAGACCTACCAGTCCATCTCAGCAACCACAATATACGTTATAAGTGTTTTTTTTTTTTTGCAGTTTTTGGCCGGGGCCGGGTTTGAACCTACCACCTCCGGTATATGAGGCCAGCGCCCTACTCCTTTGAGCCACAGGCTCCACTCTACATTATAAGTTTTACTGAAAATCAGGCCCTGGGCATAGCACTTCTAATCCAAACATCTGGTGACCTATTAGTTTGGTCTACAATGGCATCTTAATCTCCTCTGGGCTCCCAAATAATAATCATGATAGCAATAAGCAACCTCCACATATGCTCCTCAACTTACAATGGGATTCTGTCCCCCTAATCCCATTGAACCATCATAAGTGAGGGACCATCTAGTGCTGACTTAGCTATTATCTGAGATAATTCTTATTGGGGAAGCAAGAATAGATGTAGAAATATCTCTGCTAACTTCAAAATAATGCTAATAAGTAGAAGTATTCCCCATTTTACAAATGAGAAAAATGAGGCTTTGATTAAGGAATATAGCTCAAGTACCCAGTATTCCATGGAGGGGCATTAGTGAAGTGTTAGCTCTTCTAACTAAACAACAGGGTGTCTCCAGAGATCCCATGTCTGGCTGTGTAACAGATCCATCAGGAGAGCTTTTTAAAAAATACACATTCCCAAGGCCTACTGGCCCAGGGACGTGATCCAGTGGGTCTGCGATCATGTTGGGACAGCTGTGTTTAAAGAGACATGTCCAGGAGAGTATCAAGTCTGCTTTTTAGCCTGGGAAAGAATGAGATTCCATCTCTACAAAAAATAAAAAGTTAACTAGGTGGTATCCACCTATGTCCCAGCTACTTAGGAGACTAAAGCAGGGGGACTGCTTGAGCCCAAGAATTTGAGGTTATACTGAGCTATGATGACACCACTGCACCCTACCTGGGTGATAAGAGAGAGACCCTGTCTCCACCATAAAAAAAAAAAAAAAAAAAGCTACCTCTTGGTGCAGCAAGGGTAGAAAACAGGCAGTGAGGCAGGTGGAACCTAGATTGTGGTAGAGGGCCATAAATGTCCAGCTGGAAATTTGGGTTTTATTCTATGACAATGAGTACCCTTACACTCTCACAATACTTTACAGCAGTGTTTTTCAACCTTTTTTATCTCAGCACATTTGAACCTATAAACTTCTTTTTTTTTTAGAAAGAACCTCAAGCTGTCACCCTGGGTAGAGTGCTGTGGCATCACAGCTCACAGCAACCTCCAACTCCTGGGCTCAAGCGAGTCTCCTGCCTCCACCTCCCAAGTAGCTGGGACCACAGGCACCTGCCACAATGCCTGGCTATTTTTTTTGGTTGCAGCCATCATTGTTGTTTGGCAGGCCCGGGCTGGATTCGAACCCACCACCTTAGATGTATGTGGCTGGCACCTTAGCCACTTGAGCCACAGGTGCCAAGCCATATAGTTAAACTTCTGCAGCATGATTAAATCATATTGATCAAAGAAAAGAGTAAAAAAGAATATACTTCCTGTGCTTTGAACTTCTTTTGAAAATAATTAATGATCTTTAATAATTTTCATGGGGGCCAGGCACAGTGGCTCATGCCTGTAATCCTAGCACTCTGGGAGGCCAAGGAGGGTGGATTGCTTGAGCTCATGAGTTGGAAACCAGCCTGGGCAAAAGTGAGACCCCATCTCTACTAAAAATAGAAAAACTGAGGCAAGAGGATCGCTTGAGCTTGAGTAGGTTCCTGTGAGCTATGATGCTACGGCACTCTACCCAGGGCAACAGCTTGAGACTCTGTCTCAAAAAATAAAGAGGTTTTGCCCGTAGCTCAGTCAGTAGGGTGCCAGCTATATACACTGAGGCTGACGGGTTTGAACCCAGCCTGGGCCAGCTAAAATAACAATGACGACTGCAACAAAAAAATAGCTGGGTGTTGTGGTAGGCACCTGTAGTCCTGGCTACTTGGGAGGCTGAGACAAGAGAATTGCTTAAGCCCAAGAGTTTGAGGTTGTCAGCTGTGACACCATGGCACTCTATCCAGGGCAACAGCTTGAGACTGTGTCTCAAAAAAAAAAAAAAAAGAAAGAAAGAAGGAAAGGAAGGGAGGGGACATTTTCACATTTTCATGGCACACCTGTGTGCCACAGCACACTGGTTGAAAATCACTGCTTTAGAGTCTCTAAAACTGTAATGTGCACATGAGTCACTTTACAGGGGCTAACTCAGTAGGTCTGGAAAAGGGCCCAAGACTACAATTCTAAGAAGGTCACAGGTGAAGCTGGTGCTGCTGGTCCCCAGACCATGCTTTGGGTAGCAAGGTTTTTTGTTTTTTTTTTGAGACAGAGTTTCACTTATTAACCCTCAGTAGAGTGCTGTGGCGTCACAGCTCACAGCAACCTCCAACTCCTTGGGCTTAGGTGATTCTCTTGCCTCAACACCCCTCCCCCCAGTAGCTGGAACTACAGGCACCTGCTACAATGCCCGGCTATTTTTTTGTTACAGTTTGGCTGGGGCTGGGCCCGAACCTGCCACCCTTGGTATATGGGTAGGGTGACTAGACGCCCCGCCTTTCAACAATTTGTCCCACGTCCCTTGGCGTTTTAAAAGTCCCGATTTTTGGAAAGAATGCACGAACGGGCGGGAGAACAAGAAGGGAATATACGGCTGCCATGTGGCTATTTCGCCAGAATATGAGTTTTATATTATTTTTGTTAATTTTATAATGTTAAACTGTAATAATAACAAATAATTACTAAGAAGTGATTATTGAGAACTGCTTATCAAAGTTTGCATTGTTGTCAGGCCCTGCCCTGCCTGGTCCCCTGCCCCGCCTTACCGATGTTAAAATCTGGTCACCCTATATATGGGGCCAGAGCCCTACTCACTGAGCCACAGGCACCGCCCCTGGTAGAAAGGCTTTAGGATAACATTTCCCAAAGCATAATCCAAGGAATATTCCTTTTTTTTTTTTTTTAGACAGAAACTCACTTTGTAGTCCTCGGTAGAGTGCCATGGCGTCACAGCTCACAGCTCATAGCAACCTCAAACTCTTGGGCTCAAGGGATACCTTTGCCTCAGCCTCCAGAGTAGCTGGGACTACAGGTGCCTGCCACAACGCCGGGCTATTTTTAGAGACGAGGTCTTGGTCTGGCTCAGGCTGGTCTTGGTGAGCTCAGGCAATTCACCTGCCTTGGCCGCCCAGAGTGCTAGGATTACAGGCTAAGCCACTGCACCCAGCCTAGTAACATTCATTTTTAAAAGAGGGGTTTAATGGCCAAATGAGTTTGGGAAGTGCTGTATGCTCAATCCCACAATGCACAACAGCATCTTTAAGGCTTTGAAAAGTTCCCTAATAAAGAAAGGGAACTTCTTTATTTTCACCAGGCTGGGCGCAGTAGCTCACACCTATAATCCCAGCACTCTGGGAGGCTGAGGCTGGTGGATCACCTGAGCTCAGGAGTTCAAAAGTGAGACCCTGTCTCTACTAAAAACAGAAAAACTAGCTGGGTGTTGTGGTGGGTGCCTATAGTCCCAGCTACTTGGGAGACTGAGACGAGGATAGCTTGAGCCCAAGAGTTTGAGGTTGTTGTGAGGTATGACGCCACAGAATTCTACCCAGGGTGACAGAGTAAGACTCTGTCTAAAAAAAAAGGTTTTTGCCCATGGTTTCCACACTTATTATTTGACCACAGAATTCCTGCCTGCTTTCCTTTAAAAAATGCAAACTTCGGCTCGGCGCCTGTGGCTCAACCGGCTAAGGCGCCAGCCACATACACCTAAGGTGGCGGGTTCGAAT